CTTTTTTTGCCTGAAATGATGCGCAGAGGGGCACCTGAGGTCTTCCTCTAACAGTAAAACTGGAAAGGCACCATATGACCTCTACTGCCTTGGTGTAACTTACAACTCAGTCTAAAAAAGAAAATCCAGTCAAGGCATGGCCCAGCTTCTTTTGTTATTTCTTTGTTACTTGAAAAATGTTGTAAGTAAATTCATCCAAATAAATGTTTGAAGATTTTATGAAAGTCCCTTCAACATTGACTTTCCAAAGTTCTTCTGTACTTTTGAATACTCTTTTTTTTTAGGCTAATCAGCACTTGTGCCATGTAATCAAACATGTTCATGACTCATACAATGCTGAAACCAAAGACCCCTGGGTTAAAACACAAACATAATGAGCAACTTCTCTGAAATAATAATTTGAGCACCATGGAATTCTCTCATTAATAAAGCTGTAAAGTTCTTGTATTACATTAAATACTTCTTTCTCCTACAGTATTTACAGTATCAAAGAAAATATAATGGCAATAATTACTGAGATTGGATTCCTGTTTTTGATTATATATGCAATGCCCAGTAATATGAACATATTTGCTAATGTATATACATGTTGCATAACTTAACCAAATGATACATTTTTAGGTGGATCTAAAGATGGCAAGATTATAATGTGGGAGATAGGAATGCCAGATTTTAAAGATTTTTCTATCAAATGGAAGTAAGTTTATGATGTTTTATAGAATTTCAAATTATTATTTTTAGCTCACCTGTGACAGGGTGAGATTTTGTGATCGCTTTTCGTCCTGTGTCCGTCCATTCATCTGTCGTCCGTAAACTTTAATTTTAAATGACATCTCCTCATAAACCACTAAGCCAATTTCACCCAAACTTCACACAGTGTTCCTTTGGTGGTCACCTTTAAAAATTGTTCAAAGAATTTAATTCCATGCAGAACTCTAGTTGCCACAACAACCAAAGGAAAAAACTTTAAATATCTTCTTTTGAAAAACCGAAAGAGCTAGGTCTTAGATATTTGGCATGAAACATCTTCTAGTGAGTGTCTGCCAAGTTTGTTCAAATAAAAGCCCTGGGGTCAAAATTGGCCCCATCCCAGGGGGTCATTGATTTTTCCTATATGCATATAGTAAAAACTTAAAAAAATCTTCTTTTAAAGAATCCAAATAGCTAGAGCTTAGATATTTAGCATGAACCATGTTCTAATGGATGTCTATCAAGTTTGTTCAAATAAGAGCCCTGGAGTCAAAATTTGGCCCTGCCTTGAGGGTCATTGATTTTCTTTATACATGTATGTGTATAGCAAGTACTTAAAACATCTTCTTTTAAAAAAACCCAAATAGATAGAGTTTAGATATTAAGCATGAAACATCTCCTAGTAAGTGCCTACAAAAGTTTGTTCAAATTAAAGCCCTGGGGTCAAAATTGGCCCCGCCCCGGGGGTCATAGATTTTCCTTATATGTGTATAGCAAAAACTTAAAAATCTTCTTTTAAAAAAACCCAAATAGCTAGAGTTTAGATATTAAGCATGAAACATCAAGTGAGTGTCTACAAAGTTTGTTCAAATAACAGACCTGGGGTCAAAATTGACCCTGCCCCAGGGGTGTCATTGTTTTTAACTAAATGTGTAATTATAGTAAAAACCTAAACCGAGTTTGTTTAAAAAAAAACCCTGGGGTGAAAATTGGACCTGGTTGGGGGGGGGGTTCATTGTTTTTCCCCATATGTGTGTAGTAAAAACTTAAAATCTTCTTTTAAAAAAAATCAAAGAGCTAAAGCTTAGATATTTAGCATGAAACATCTTCTACTGGGTGTTTACCCAGTTTGTTGGGGTTTAAATTGGCCCCGCCCCTGAGGGCACTATATACAGGTGAGCGACTTCAGGGCCATCATGGCCCTCTTGTTCATGCAAAGTATTTTCTTTTATGGCATCACCTTGTTGGATTTACTTATAAAGTGATAGCAAAACTTTATACTCACTTGGAAGGACTAACTGATAATGTGTTCTGATTTCCGTTCTGTACTGAACGATAATGCAATAACGCGAAATCTTTGATAAGATGGCTGTAATGACAAAAGGTACTTTGACACCATATATTGTAGCTATAGCAAGAATTTAACTGTAAATTTTAGTTTATGTATAATTTATTTTAGTTTGATTGTGTAGGAGACTAAAAACTTATTGACACATTCTAAAATGTGTTCCTGGAACCAAACAGTACTTAGGAATGAGTGTATTTTCTTGCTCATGGAAACAACAACTTGCCCCTGATGGGATTTGAACCTACATGGATAGTGATCCTTAGAGTACCAGTCCACTATGTTAACTACTCATCCTTGAGGCCACACCACTCTAATGAACCTACATGGATAGTGATCCTTAGAGTACCAGTCCACTATGTTAACTACTCATCCTTGAGGCCACACCACTCTAATTTTGACAAAGAAACATAACTTTCAATGCATAATTTTATGTATATTTATTTTCTGAAATTTGAGGGTTTTAGTTTCAACTGACTGCTATGTGGAAGTAGATAATGTAAATAAACATTGATATTTTCAGACAACGGGCTGTATTGACATTACCTAAGACAGATACAATATGTCTTGTTGTCAACTCAGAGCTGGAAGTCTTGATTGTTGGATGTGAGAATTCTTGTTATGGCTGGAAGCTGGAAAAACTGTACAAAAACGAGAAAAATCTAAATGTGTAAGTTGAACTTGACACAGTGAAAAGGGTTAACTGAAAGTGACAACCTGCATGTATAATTAGATCATTTCAACTTTGGTTGCAACTGAATTATTTCATAGTTCACAATATGACATTGTGGTAATGAATACAATACATATACACATTTTTGACAGTTGTGGATTTTCAATATTAATTAGTGATAAGTAGCAGTACTATTTGTATGGTTGATTGATTCTAACAGAAATATACTATTGTTATAGATCATATAATGTGCATAATGTCATTCTACTTTTTGTTTCCAAGTTAAAAGGGGCTTTTCTGCAGTAAAACACCACAAAAACCTGATTTACTTAGTCTAAACACTACACGAACCTGGCTTAATGTACCAAAAAAAAAAGTCATCAACAAATGAGGTACCCTTCAGACCCCTTGAAAAATGTCATGGCAGACATTTATGTTAAACAGTGCCTTCATGTATCGGACTGAAAACTCAGAATCTAAATAGCAAAAAAACTCAGTTCGTAGCCATGTATTCATACATAATCAGACTGTGGTCTATGGTGATTTGTTGCCACAAAACTAGATTTAAAGTAACATAACACCATAAGCAACTGACTTATTGTAACAAAACACAACAAAAAAAAAACTTAGTTACTCTAAAAGAAACACCACTAAAGCCTAATTTACTTTAACTGAATACAACAAAAAACATAAAAGTTTAATATTTAGAAGAAGCTTTTGTTTTATTGATAATTGTAGAACCTGAGAAGACCTATACTGAATGGGTGCAACTAATTAAACAAAACAAAGTGAAATAAGAAACAATATAAAATAGATTTCAAACGCACATTATGCCTCAAAAATCAATATTACTTTAATATTACTGTATTTCCTGATATTTTGATAATGAATTAACAGCATCTTAGATGTTAAACAAGTCAACTACAAAAAGTCATGTTGAATGTGCAATGATGTGTTATGAAGGTAGAAAAATGTAAACAAAGCAGTATTTTAACTTCCATACATAATACAAGCTCACTTTAATTATACCAATCTCCAAAGAGCAAAAGAAGCAAAGATAGTTCATCTATATGAGCAATGAGTAAATTGTTTTTGGAAAGTGTAATTAGATAACAAAAATAAAATAGTTTTGAAAAAATATAAATGATAGCATTGTGATGGCTTAATGGGCCTTTAAATTATATAAAATAAAATTAGCCGCGTCACTACAAAACAAACGTAATGGGTTTGCGACCAGCATGGATCCAGACCAGCCTGCGCATCTGTGCAGTCTGATCAGGATCTATGCTGTTTGCTATCAGTTTCTCTACTTGTTATAGAGTTTGTAAGTGAACAGCATGGATCCTGATCAGACTGCACAGATGCGCAGGCTGGTCTGGATCCATGCTGGTCGCAAACCCATTACGTTGGTTTTGTCGTGACACGGCTCAAATATATAACACTAGAATAGATAATAAATATGTGCCCAGGAAAATGGTGTCATACAAACATTGAAACAGTACATATTTTAATTGAATTCTTATTGAATATTCCAGGGTTCCAGATTTTGAGTTTGTACATCCCAAGTTGGATGATGATGATGAACCTGTTGTGATAGATGGACTAGCTTTACTCTCAAATAACTGTATAGGTAACTGCTTTTACCATTGATTATTCCTTTACCTAAAGGACTATAAGGTTTGCTCTCTGTAAGTCATGACAGAACAACTTAATTTGGTATAGACGGGGATAAATAAAAAAAGTTGAGAGCCACTGGTCCTGAAGGACAAGTAGCTTCTGAATTCTATGACTAGGTTAGATTTTTCTACTCATTCTGCTACAAATTCTCTCAAGTTCTTCTCATAAATATGAGAGAACATGTGAGATTTAAATCATTTTTGCACGGAAGGGCACCTGAGGTCTTCCTCCACCAGTAAAGCTGGAATGTCGCGATATGACCTATACTGTGTTGTTGTGACGTAAAACCAAAAACAAAACAAATCATTTTAATCCCTGGTCAAGGGGCATTTTAACAGGCAAACAAACAACAGATTCATTCCATTGTAATAGAATAATGAAGATTTAGCTGTTTACTGTGTAAAGCTATATTAATGCTGCAAAAATTATTTGAATTTTTAAAAAAAAGAATGCTTCAAAGTGTATAGCAGAATGATATTTTGTTTAAGAACATTTTTTGTGCATACAATAACCGTGTCTGTTAAATAATAGAGACTAATTTTTCTCTAGAATCAACCAAAAGATCATGGAAACAACATAATTTTACTGTTCAGATATTTTTTGAAAACAAAATTAATCAGATATAGCTTTATTCAGAGACAGAAATAAAGTTTGTATGATACTTCATTAGTGTTTTTCAATTCTTAATAAGATAAGATAAGATAAGATAAGTAAATTTTATTATAGTGACATTGTGTTATGTACATACATAATAACGATACATTTTTATTAGCTCGACTTTTCTATGAAAAGGGGAGCTATCCTACTCGCCCCGGCGTCGGCGTCACACCTTGGTTAAGTTTTTCGTACCACCCCACTTTATTTCAGAAGTATTACAAGTATGGCTTTGAAACTTACCATACTTGTTCACCATCATAACCTCCATCTACAGACAAGAGTACATAACTCTGTCAAGGTTTTTGACAGAATTATGGCCCTTTTTTTGACTTAGAAAGTGTATTGAGCTTGGTTAAGTTTTTTGTACCACCTCACTTTATTTCAAAACCATTGGAGGTATTGCTTTGAAACTGACCATACTTGTTTACCATCACGACCTTCATCAACAGACAAGAGGACATAACTCTGTCAAGGTTTTTGACAGAATTATGCCCCTTTTTGACTTAGAAAATACATTGAATATGGGTAAAATCCACTTATTGCCTTAACCCTTTGAGATATTGCTTTGAAACTTTTAATGCTATTTCACATCATTACCCCATCTGTACGCAAAAGAGAAGGTAACTCTGTCAAGGATTTGTTTTAAAAATTAAGGCCTTTTATCGACTTAGAATCTTGGTTAAGTTTTTAGTACCAGTCCACTTTTTGACTGAACTGTTTGAGATATTAATTTGAAAGTTGGAATACTTGTTTACAATCATGATTCCCAAACATGTCCAGGAGAAGGTAATTCTGTCAAAGATTTTATTTGAATTATGGCCCTTAACTGTCAATGTTTTGTATTATAGGCAAGCACTAAAAAACTTAAAAAATCTTAAAAAAATTCATTCCTATCCACTTGTTTCACTTTACCATAAATTATGTCATATAAACATTGCTGTAATATTCAAGGGTATCAAACAACTAGTTATTTTTCTCTTTTTGTACTTGAAATTATTCTCTCAAAGTGGGTTTAATACTATTAAATTTATTTAAGGCTCAACTCAGTTTTTTTTTCTTTCTTACCAGCCCTCTTTTGACTTAAACATTTCAAACTTTGCTGCAGTGTTCAAGGGTATCACACAATTCAGTAAAATAATTCTTCACTAAATATCTTAATGCTCATGGCCATTGTTCACTTTAAAAATACAGAGATTCTTGTATTGCCTTTTACTGCAAAAACTTTTTTTATTGGCAAGCAATAAAAAAGTCGAGCGCGCTGTCTTACGGACAGCTCTTGTTTTTACAACACCCGGCCACGTTGGGCCTACAAGTCACTTAATTATTTAATCATTTTCAAAAATATACAATTTATAACATAATTTAGATATTAACTAATTATATACATGCACGAACAAATAGTGATTTAAATGTTCTTGGACATAATAACATCTGCATTATAAGAGAAATAGGAAGTATACAAGTTTACTTTTTTCCAATTACTTTCGGTATCAAATCACATATATGATACATATACAGTTGTCATTCATGTACATATCATTAGAGCAAATACATTTACAACATTTTTATACCCCCGCACAACAAAGTTGTAAGGGGGGTATACTGGAATCAGCTTGTCCGTCCGTCCGGCTGTCCGGCTGCACTCACAGGAGAGTAATTATGTGGCTAGAGGGACAATAGGTAACTGTTCTTTCTCTTTGATGTCATTCATTCCGTAATGCTTTTATGTGGCTATTTTCTTTTGTGTGGCTAAAAAGAACAATAGAGTAGCCACATAATTACTCTCCTGTTAGAACTTCCGTCCGGCTGTCCGTCGGTTTTTTCTTGTCCGCCCAATAACTTAAGATTCCTTTGACCAACAGTCTTCATATTTGGCATTGAGGTTAGTCATGATTAGTAGATGACCCCTATTGATTTTGAGGTCACTAGGTCAAAGGTCAAGGTCACAGGGGCCTTGACTTCAAAAAGCTTGTCCGCCCAATAACTTAAGATTCCTTTGACCCACAGTCTTCATATTTGGCATGGAGGTTAGTCATGATTAGTAGATGACCCCTATTGATTTTGAGGTCAAAGGTCAAGGTCACAGGGGCCTTGACTTCAAAAAGCTTGTCCGCCCAATAACTTAAGATTCCTTTGACCCTTAGTCTTCATATTTGGCATGGAGGTTAGTCATGATTAGTAGATGACCCCTATTGATTTTGAGGTCACTAGGTCAAAGGTCAAGGTCACAGGGGCCTTGACTTCAAAAAGCTTGTCCGCCCAATAACTTAAGATTCCTTTGACCTACAGTCTTCATATCTGGCATGGAGGTTAGTCATGAGTAGTAGATGACCCCTATTGATTTTCAGGTCAAAGGTCAAGGTCACAGGGGCCCTGACTTCAAAAAGCTTGTCCGCCCAATAACTTAAGATTCCTTTGACCCATAGTCTTCATATTTGGCATTGAGGTTAGTCATGATTAGTAGATGACCCCTATCGATTTTGAGGTCACCATGTCAAAGGTCAAGGTCACAGGGGCCTTGACTTCAAAAAGCTTGTCCGCCCCAATAACTTAAGATTCTTTTGACCCACAGTCTTCATATTTGGCATGGAGGTTAGTCATGATTAGTAGATGACCCCTATTGATTTTGAGGTCAAAGGTCAAGGTCACAGGGGCCTTGACTTCAAAAAGCTTGTCCGCCCAATAACTTAAGATTCCTTTGACCTACAGTCTTCATATTTGGAATGGAGGTTAGTCATGCTTAGTAGATGACCCCTATTGATTTTGAGGTCACCAGGTCAAAGGTCAAGGTCACAGGGGCCTTGACTTCAAAAAGTTTGTCTGCCCAATAACTTTAGATTCCTTTGACCCACAGTCTTCATATTTGGCATGGATGTTGGTCATGACTATAAGGTAACCCCTATTGATTTTGAGGTCACTGGGTCAAAGGTCAAGGTCACAGGGACCTTGACAAAAAAAAAGCTTTTCTTCTCAATTGCTAGAGTATGTCCTGTCCGCAATGTATTGATTTTGACATTTTCACATTTGAAGCATGTAGAATACATAACTTAGCAATGCACTGGCTTAGTAACCTCAGATTTGGCAGGGAGGTTGTCCTTGAGCTCTAAATGGCCACTGTTGATTCTGACAAAGTGGTATGCGGGGGTATTCACGCCATGATAGTGGCAGTTCTAGTTTAATTAATTTCTGTACAGAGACATCCTTCTTCTGTTCATAGCTTCAACTAAAAATTTAGCCACATGCACATAATGATAATTGACAGCATATACTAACTTATTTACTTCAGACATATGTTCAAAATCAGGATTTCTATCTTTACATTTTGATAAAAGGTTCTGTCGTAAGTCATTATATTTAATGCAGTTTAAAAGAAAATGAGTCTCATCTTCTACAACATTAAACTGGACAAAAATGACAAAATCTTTCGTTTACATTTAAACTGACATATCTTCCTGTTTCTATCTTTAATGGAAGTATACCACATCGGAATTGGGCTAAATGAGACCGTTCAATCTTAGTTAATGACCAAAGCAAATACTTTTCAGTATTATAATGTTGTTTTAATTCAATATATGTTCTAAGTTTGGCAACATTTCTAACATTATTACACCAATCCATTTTATATTTAACAAACAATGCATCTTCAACATCTTTTAGATTTACAGGTAACTTGTTTTTCATAAGTAATGTGATATTTGAATTTGTTTGCAATATAGTCTTTACATCATAGCACCAATGTTTTTCCAAAACAATTGTAGTCATAGGAGAACATTTTTTTTGGAAGCCTATCGTCCGGCATATTTACAAGTCGATTCCAAAATCGTAAAATGTTAACCCAACGTCTATGTTGAGTGGAAATCCAACCCATATCACCATTTATTGCTAATAATGGTGCAAATTTATGCACACCCATAAAATATCTTATTGCTCTGTTTTGCGTCATATCTATTTTGTTTTAATATTTAAAACCCCATATTGAGGAACAGTAATCTGTTACAGGAACAACACATGAATAGGACATTTTAGTAAATGTTTTAAAGCCAACATCTTTATAATTATGTACTTTAGAAAAAATTGCACCAAGTGCTCGGCCACCAGATTTAGACAACAATTCGGCAGTTTGAGTAAAATCTAAGTGCTCATGTAAATTAACACCCAAATATTTATACATATCCGTAAACAATACAAAACAATCGCCTATTCTAAATTGAAAATTACTTCTATTTTTACCCTTATTTCTGAAATGCACAACCTTTGACTTTTCATTATTGATAATAAGTCGCCATTTCCGACACCATTCATGAACATAATCTAACATGTCTTGCATATCTTGTTCATTCTCAGACAACAATAAAATGTCATCAGCATAAAACAAACAACAAAGTATATCATTATTAAACTGTACACCCTTGTTAAGAGTCTTTAAACCTTCAGCTAGATCGTTTATGAAGTAAGCAAAGATTGTTGGCGATCCGCTGTCTCCTTGCTTCACGCCAGACAGAGTCGGGAACCAGTCAGTTAACATACCGTTTAACTTAACACAAGACGATGTATCCGTCAAAATGGCCTTAATCGAGTTATAAAATTTTCCATTTATACTATTAGACAAAAGTTTATACAAAAGAATATCCCTATTGACAAAGTCAAATGCCTTTTTTATATCAATAAAAGTTCCAAATGTATCAAGTTTACTTAAAAGTCTATTTCTAATAATAGTACATGAGGTATAAACATGGTCCTCACACGACCGTTTTGAACGAAATCCGTTCTGCTCATCAACAAGTAACTCTTGATCTTCTAAATGTTTCCATAGTCTATTATTTAACACAGCTGAATATAATTTGCTAACCACCGAGAGTAAACTTATTCCTCTGTAATTCAAGGGTATACGTTTATCTTTAGTAATATCTTTTGATATAGGGGCAATCATTGCTTTTCGCCATATACTTGGTATAATACCAGTATCAAAACACAAGCAAAAATGTGAATGGAGTACATCTATTATGATTGGTAAATTTAACACTTCACATGGAATTTTATCAATAATAAAGGGTCGAGCATCTGATTTTCCATAAAACGTTTTTCTCTGAGAACTTCCTCATAAAACTGGTTATAAAAATGATCACAATTTTCATTTACATTATATAGGTCTTCCCAAGACCATTTTTTAAACACAAATACACTATCGTGAATGATATCTTCGTTATCATCATGCACTTCAAGAGGTGTCGAAGGTTTCCGTTTCGGACCAAGATTTTTAATATGATCCCAGAATGCTCTAGGGTCATTTGTGCAAGTACTCTCAATGTCGATCGAAAGATTTCGTTTGTAGGCTCGTTCAGCGCGTCGTAACTGTTTATCGAACAGACGTCTTGTCTCGGTGAATTCACTTTGCAATAAGCAGGTCTCCTTGTCAAAATTGAGTTAGTTTAACAAATTTATTTTAGTTTGTGTTGGAAGCTATACGCTTATTGAAACACTCTCAAATCTGTTCCTGGAACCAACCAGTACTAAGCAATGAATGTAAAGTTTCTTGCTCAAGGAAACAACGGCTTGCCCCTGACAGGGTTTGAACCCACGCGGTCAGCAATCCTTAGATTACTAGTTCTATGTGTTAACCACTCGGCCACGCCGCCACTTGTTATATTTAAATAGTTTAAGCTATCATTCTATAATTTCAGTAACTAAGTGTGTGGACGAGAATAGATTATACCTTTGGGACCTTGAGCCCCATACAGATGGTGGATTTAAAGGACCTAAACCTTACAGAATTCTAGTCTCACCAATGGCAGAACTACAGTATATAAACACTGCTGTAGATTACCTGTATCTTCACACATGTAAAGGTTTGTATGTTAATATATACAGTAAACTCTGCTTATAAACTTTATATAAACTTAATTTAACCCCTTTTTTGAACTTAGAGAATTTATATACATGTATATTTAAATAAAACAAAAACTTTTGATTGCAAAGAGTTACCTCCCATTATATACTCTTCAAAAAGGATGCATGCGAAAGCGAAAGTAGAAAAAATGATGCTCGACAGTTTTAGATTTCTCAATTTGTTCTGTCCCGGTTACAACGAGACCCGGTTATAACGAGGAATCATGCGAAGTCCCGACGATCTTGTTGTATCCGGAGTGCACTGTATATGCAAAAAAAGCTGTCGGTTAGCTCAATAGGTAGAGTGCTGGGCTGTGAATCGGGCGATCCAAGTTCGATTCCCAAACAGTACAGGTCACTTTCATTGTGATTGATCATGAAATACTTCCTATGTTCATTTGCACTATACTTCTGCACTGGCATGCACAGAAATAATTAGTTCATTACAAAGGTGAAGGCAACTAAAACTGGTAAACTACTTGAGTCTGCCTAGGAACAATGTGGTGGCTGAACTGTTCTCTGATAAATTCAGTGTGGCTTACTGCCATAATCCGGAGTGAAAACTACAATTCTAACACTATCGGAATTTTTTCTATATAAACAGAGAAGGCCCGAAGCGTGCATTATTCTACAACAATGCACTCCCCATTCTTTTTATCTCCCTGTGTATTTTCACATTGAGGGCGCCATTTTGTTTGAAAAATCTGATAAATAAAAACAATTTTTTGTCGAATTTTGTTGTGAAAGAAAATGGTCTAACTAAGAAAATGAATCCAAACACCAATATCTTTAATTCAGTTGTTAACGCTGTACAGACGTTTAAAGTGTTGTTTACGTGACGTCACAATGTAGCGCCAAACATCACAAGCAAAACAATCAAATCAAGTACTCAATTTTAATGAGTTTTAAATTTATTTCACTTTTAATGATTTGTATTTCGCTGTGAAATGAAATAAACAAACAAAGTTTTATCAACGTTTTCAAAATTCGTTATTCAGAAAATGTTTCTACACACAGTAGATTTAACGACAGTTTTGTTTCAACCCACTGGAACAGCCTTTATTTAACCACCCAAAATAAAGTCCAACTTGATAATGATAATTTTATTTTTTCTTGACGTGTTAGAATGGAAATAGATATTAATTATTTGTGCATTATTGTATAATAATGCACGTTTTTCGTTCAAATGCTTTGTAATTAATCACGAAGGCCTATTGGCCTTCGTGATTATATTACTACGCATTTGAACTCAAACCGTGCATTATTCTACAACAATGCACTCAGAATTGATATCTATTTCCTAATCACCAACCAAGATACATGCATAATCATCATGTAGTATATTTGTAATTACTGAGGGTAAGGGTTAAATGCTAAAGATACCAATGAATTGATGAACCTTCCCATAAATACAAGGGGCATGCATTTATTTGTCTTGCATCTTACATTTTATCTAACACTATTGTCATAAGATTTTGTGTGAATTTACAGCTTCTTTTATTAACAGATTTGTCGATCCATAGCATCATTTGAAATACTGTTAAAATTGGTTGTATTTTCAGCCTATAGATTTAAATATCTCTGTTGACCTTTGGCAAAATAGGTTGTTTTCGTTGGCATATCTGTTGCCTCAGATGAAAATGAAAACCTTTTGTAACAATGGCGAAATGGTGTCATTCAAATCATGTGACCCATCTTGCACTCCATGGTTATAAAATGACATTTTCTAGGACTGTGCAAAACAATCATCATTCTGTTTTACAATGTTAGCATATTATTATTTGTTGCCCTGTCAGTGATATCAAAATTATTTATATTATTTCCCTATTTTCAGATATTCTTAGTGTGGGTGATGACAAAGGAAACATCTACATGTATAACTTAAAGTCAGTTGTCAGCAAGAAGAAAAATTGTGATGAGGTGTTACTGCCCTCCCTTGTTAGTAAAGTTTTCAAGTATTTCTACTTTGATCATCTTGATCTACTTATGTTTATGCTCATGTGTGATAAGAGACTTATTTTGTTTGCTTAAGAGTTTAGTCTGCCCATTACGCTCAATAGAGAGATATTGGTTTAGTTATCCAAGGGTTGCTGGTTCAATCTTGAGCAAGGAGAAATTTCTCTGTGACAACTCAGAACTGATATCCAACATTGATCAAGTCTAATGGCCACTTGTCTCTCACTGCTGAATGAGAAATCATGTTGGATTCGGACTGGTAAAGATTAACAAAACTAGGCATAGATTTTAGCAGCTGCATGTGGCATATTAAGTGAAAACCTGGTTTTGGGACAATTTCTTGTCACTTGTTATTATTAGATAAATCATTCAGCTGTAGATTCAAATTTGATCAGTTTGCATGTTACTTATACAAAATTTAATAATGTTCATAATGATTTATGATGCATATTTAAATTTCAGACATTAGAGTACCCAGACTTGAATATTGATACAAACTATGAAGAAAGTATGAAAGATGTTACAGAGAAAAAGGTTAGTCAAGAATAGGTAGAAATTAGTATCTGTATTACTTTTACTAAAAGGGGCCTACTTTGCTGAGTGGTCAAATTGGCTGACTTCAAATCACTTGCCCCTCAATGCTGTGGGCCAGAATCCCGCCATTGACTTTGGATTCTTTCATGAGGGGAAGATATCCAGCTAGCTTTTAGAAGGTTGGTGGTTGTACTCACCTGAATTATCATTCACCAGGAGTATGGCCCTACCTGTGTTTGTGTGACTTATAGCCAAAACAGAAATAAAAAGTAATGAAGAACTACTGGAACCATGACCTTTGTAACAGAAGCCCATTTAGGTGTTCATATAAGGCCACTCTTAAAAAATTATCTGTTTGCTATTGCCGGCCGACCCACCGAAAATGCCCCGACTCAAAAGTTTTTTTCAGCTTAAAAAAATCAGATTTTTTTTTATTTCCGCCAAATCAGCCAGGGCATTCGACCTAAAAAATTCCCTCGAAAACAATAATAAAATCGGAGGAAAATCACACATTTAATATGTCAAGTAACGAGTGATCATTCATGAGGGCATTCTGTGCATTACTATTTAAAGTATTTACATAAATAGCGACCAACCAGGGAAGGATATTTTCCTTACGTCACGCAGTACTGCATGCGCGCGGCAATTAAGTTGAATTAACTAATAATAGAACGTATCAAAACGGGATTAAAAATAATGTTTGTTCAATTAATGAATATTTGTAAAGCATTTATATGGTCACTAGTTTACCATGTGGTAATTTTAATGTGCTTTGGAGTACATGTTCGTTTGTTGATGACTGCTGACACAGATTAAATACTTAGCCCATGCAATGAAACATTTCTGGTAGCAGCGGGGATAATGTCATAAAATTGACCGAAAAAATAAATTTTTGGAAGCTGTGGTCCTTTCATATGCATTGTTGCTTTGATAGCAGACACAAGTATTGCACAATATCTTCAAGATCGTAAAAATGTAAATAAAATATCACAATCAAAATCACAAATATACATACGTCTAATTAAACTCCATGTCAAAATGAACTTCCGATTAATAATATGTCAATAATATTGACACAATAAATATCCAAAATTTTTTTTTTACTTGAGCAATAATTAAACATGTGTAATCATTCCTTGACAAAAAGAAATGACAGTCTTTTTCTGATATATAAAACTGAGGTGGAAGTCAATTGAGTGTCTGCACTTCTTTGATGATTCGGCAACAACTACAGGTGTGTAAACATCAAAGATTCACAGATTCTTCAGAAGAGCCGACCAGTCATTTGTCAGAGGTCATTTCGTGTGTAAATTTTGTATTTATTATTTAACAATGGAAACATTATATTCCTTTTATTTATGGATGCTACTTTTTGCGCGAGTGTTTTTGTGTCTTTTAGCGCTATGGAATTTCAACAATCGGCGATAATTTTCGGTAACTAACAATGAAATATTTTAACATTTTTAAAACAGGGGTGCAAATATCCGCCATTCAGAAATTATAGGAGACAAATCTTGCGTGTGTTATTTTTTACAGACGTGTAATAAATTGAGTAATGATCACCCGATAGAACGATATGTCCTGGTGATCCACTATAATTTTTCCAGTTCGTACGGGAATATTTACGCAGGAGAAGTTTATCACATCGGTAATTTGACCATGCTTGAATTTATGTCCACATAGTCATTTTTTTTATTTCATGTTATGATTACTAGTGAACATGTTTTTTTATTGTTTTTGACAGTCTTTTACATGTAAGTTTTGCCGTCGCCGATGATGATAGTGTACGTAGTCCAAATTTCCACAATCTGCTACAACGTACTAAGCGTATTAACTTACGTTCAGTAAAAATCATATAAAAAAAAAAAAAAAAAAAAAAGCCTACCTACCGACCCACTCCTTATAACTCTGGGTCGGCAATAGCAAACATATATATTATTAAGGATGGCCTAACTTTTAGTTTGTCCCGCATGTCTTATGTCAGACTGAAAATGCGGTATGGTCTGAAGTCTTCCAACTGATACAAGATGTTTTTATTAAATTTATGAGTACATGATTTTGACACTAAAGAAAAGTATGCATATTCAGCTATGTCGAATCTATGTCTTCTTTACATATTGATGAAAGATCTAGATAAGTCAGCTGAATGTTTAAATTTATTCTGAAACAATTTTCGTATGTGTACAGGTATCTTCTATTGCTTAAAAGTTTGATTGCTAAATTGTGTTTCAGGAAGTCAACACGAATCTTGGGAACTAAGATTGTTAAATTTTATTGTATCAATAGTTACAGCTAGAGTTTTTTTTCAGGATGTGGTCATTAATTGTTTAGGACAAAGTTCTGATGGAGAATATATGGTGTGTGGAACGGACAATAACCTTTTGTGTATATGGCAAGCATGCTCCTAATGAGTGTGCATGTGAACATAGAACAGTTCAATAACTTACTGAATTTGCAATATTAGCCTTTGGTTATACAATACAGTGAAGCCTTTGAATTTGCAAAGCAGGCAAGCCAGTTCATTTGTATTATAGTAAGCAATCCTATAGAATTTGTAATGCAGTTCAGCCAAAGAACTTGCCACATGGTTCAACCTATGGATATGCAACACTTTTATTTATTAGGAGAGGGCATATAGATTTTTGCTTGTTTGTCTGTCAAGCTGTTCATCTGTAGACCAATAAAACAGTGGAATGGAGGGCAATCCTCGTCCGATTGATACATTTCTAGTTAACTTTGTATTATATAAGTAACATAATTCAACACTTAGATTTGCAACGCTGTCTAAATATTTTGTATATACAATCCTGTCTAGCCCTGAAATATGCAACATTGTCCAGTAATGCAGTGCTGTGATTGAATGCAATATGTTTAACATATTGAATATGCAATACAGTTTGGTGCTTGATTTTGCAACACAACATAGCCATAAAATTAGCAATGCAATTGTGATTATAGTCCATCCATTGGATATGCAGCACTGTCTGACTGAGGTATGCAAATATTTTCCAGTCATTGAGTAAACATTACAGTTAAACCAATGAATTTGAAACAGTCAATGCCATTTCAATTAAAAATGTGTAATTATCAAATTATTTACATATTCTCTCCGTTGAGTTTGCAAATGTTCAACCTTGTTCTTATCTTTTGACTAATGGTTTTGGCAATTATCAAAATGATGTTGATATTGTTGATGTGACTCAGGTAAACAATTAATAAAAAGAGCTTGTTATTGTCTTATATAATAAATAGATTTATTTTGTAAGAATTTTAGCTCATTTTGAGCATTTCAAAGTTGTGCTTATGCAACAGACATTCCACCATTGATCAATTATCTATATGTGCCGCGTCACGACAAAACCAACATAGTGCGTTTGCGACCAGCATGGATCCAGACCAGCCTGCGCATCCGAGCAGTCTGATCAGGATCCATGCTGTCCGCTTACAAACCATATAACAAGTAGAGAAACTGATAGCCAACAGCATGTATCCTGATCAGACTGCGCGAATGCTTTCTGGATCGATGCTGGTCGCAAATTATTTTAATTTGCTTATTTGTGTGTATTCTTTTAAGCAATTTGTTTTTATAGAAACACTGTTTTTATGTTTTATTTAAAAACCATTATTTGTAATTTACTTATGAGCACCATTTGAGGGTGTTTTTTTTATTACATTTAAGTTAGATTGTTATCATGTTGTATGATTCTATAGTTTTGTTTCTTTTTTTTCCCTCATAATGATTTTTATGTATTGATAATATCATGCTGTTTACATTTTTATTCCTTGATTTGTTGTCATTGAGCAAAAGTATTATAACTGCATAGTAAGTAATGAGACAGTTAAAAAAGTTTAGCTTTAGCACTGAGAGAATCATAGCTATAGGGTTGACCGTAAAACTGTTGTAAGTCCTTCTTTATTTCATGTGAGTTACTGCAGTCTTGTGGTCAACCTCGAGGTATATAACAAATTCCACAAGGTATGCAATGTTTGTTAACATTTGTTAAATAAACCATAATTTTCAATTTTGAATATCTTTGAAGGCTCATTAAAAAAAAGATATTCATAATTGAAAAAATATGTATACATCATTTAATGAAAAGATTTTCAAGCATTGCATAGTTTGATATGCAACAATTTTTATTGTGTTTTAAACTATTTCATGATTTTACCTTGTATAATGAATAAGTTGTTTTTTTTTTAAATGTTTTGTGACAAGATGTAAAATTTAGTCATTGTATATACGATTTTTTTCTCTCATTTTGTTTTAAAAGTATGCATTTTTATGTAGAAATGTTCTTATTTTTTTTAAGTTCAATGTCTGGGGCGGGAAATATGCTTGTTACATTCATATTAAATGGAATTGTTAATGTAGCCTTACCATATCCTTTGACATTGTATTTGATGATTTTTTATATTTCTTAGCTAACCATCATGATTTTTTTTTTATCAAAGGTCAATGTCTAAGCGGTCAAAAAGGTTAAAATTGATAAGTAATACATGTATTTCTTTTGTATCCCATCAATTCCTAGTTGGTTAAAATAATCTAGGCATAAGTATCAACCACCAAAATAAAATGTGTTACATGCATGACCTAGAACCATGATAAAAACATGGAGGTGTCACATAACAATGGTAAAATTGGTTGTATTTTCATTTTTTTCACTTAAAACTCATTTCTGATATTACTTAAATATAATTGTCATTCAGTCATGTTTATTCTTGCATACCAGACAGTGTTATCTGCTGTTTACACTGGTGCTAGAAAAACCTGTCTTACTTCCTGTGTAAGTAACCGCCTCTGTGGTCGAGGTGTTAGAGTCGATGACTTCTAATCCAGTCACCTCTCTGGCGTGGGTTCGATCCCCGGGAGATGCTTTGGTAGTTTAGCGCGGAGGAAGGTTGTCTAGTACTGGTGTAACTCTCCAGGAACGATGGTTAGGAAACTGCCCGCCTATATGACTGAAATTCTGTTGGAAAAAGGCGTAAAATGAAGCAAACAAACAAACAAATACTTCCTGTGTAAGACAGGTTGCGTGCTCTTAATGATTTCATTCATGTGAACCTTTTGAATGAATTGCCATTTAAAGGCATTTTAGGGAGATGTCATTTTGTCATTAAACAGGAAGTTGAAAATTCATATGCTACTATAAGAAAAAAGTTCTACCACATGTTAACATTAGTTTTCGTAATTTCTTTTCGAATTATGATTGATATGTTATAAAAAAAAATCATACATCAGCTGTCATCACAGACTGGAATATCTGACTCATGGAAACTGTTTAGTGGAAACGACAGAGTCTTGTTACCACCATAAACAGTAACCCTCGAGCTAGAAATTCCTCTCTGTACCTGCAGCTGGTGTAATATCCTTAATATTATAACATAATTCATGTAATTGGTATTTTTGTTTTGTTGTAAACATTTGATGTAATGAATAATGTGTCATTTTGTACATGAAATCATGTTTATACTTAAGATAATGAGATGATTTTTGGGGTATTGAAAGATCATAACTGGATAATTTAGTGTACTTATGTGTTCAAAAAATATATAGTGTTCATTTTTAGCTCGATTTTTTTCTCCAAGATAAATTTCGAGCCTTTGCTACTGTCGTGTTGTTGTCGCTGATGTTGTTTGCCTTCCAGTAACTTCAACATTGTCATTATTTTTTTTTATTACTGAATGAATTGTCTTCATTCTTTGACTCAACAACCCTTTTGACAAGACCTTCAAGTAGATCATAATGAAGTTGACCTTGACTCATAAATGACCTAGACCTTCAAGGTCAAATATTCAAAGTTTGCTTAATTTTTGCTAAAATTGGCTAAAAGTTTGTTACTTATGAATGGATTGTCTCCATACTTTGATATTTAAGTAGTATAGTATTCAAACTTTTCAATTTCGGGTACTACGTTAAAGAGAAATACTGGGACAAATTTTGTAAAAACGAATATTCGAACATGAAAAACGAATATTCGAACAGTGAATTCCTTACTTGATTTATTTACAGTTTTGTTTAACAACTTCAGAATGACAAAACTGACATGTTCAATTATTCTGATATGACATAGACTTTTATTTGACGTTAAGGTCAAATAATTGAAATGTTCTTTATTTGTCATAACTTTGTATTTTATTAATGGATTTGATTCATACTTAGACAAAAGAGCACATATGACAAGACGGACATGTTGAATTATTCTGATTTTGCCTTGACCTTTAATTGACCTTGACCATCAAGCAAAAAAATGAGCTATTTTGACAAAACTGACTTGATGTCTTATTCAAATGTTAACTTGACCTTTTAACTACATTGATCATTAAAGCTACATGCCTCCAGATGAGCACAAATGTTTCTATAATATCAAATTTGGGGAAAATATATTTAGAGGTTTGGAAAAGTAAAAAGATTTAAGATTCAGGAAAAAATTACATGTGATGTGTGATTAATGACTGATTGTTCAGTATTTATAATTTATAACTGTATTTCTACTGCGTTAGTAAGGGTTATCTCTGCATATTTTCACCCATTTTGGTAGTAACGTGGGTTGGAAGTGTCATTTATTATGTGTAAATTGCTTTCTTTTGGTTACTTCACAATATTACACTTTTTAATACATTTTCAAAATTGTCATGAAAATTGGCATGAAACTGGAGGCGTGCTGCTGTAAAGTCAAATATGAAAAATGAATTTTATTTTTGACAAGAAAATTGTGTATTCTAGGAGTACTGTTTGCTATAATATTTTTCTCTCTTGGAAATAAGAAAAGTCAAGCTCGGCTTCCGCTAGGCTGTGGCTCTTTTGTATAATTTGGAATGAAATAAAAAATGTGAGTCCATGCCATTTGCTTTAGTTTTAAGTTATTCCTGAAATATCTGTCTGGGGACAAAAGTAATGAAAATCTAATCATCAAATGTCTAAGGTGGTTCAGTCCAAAATTCTAGATGTTTAGTCCTATTTTTACAATACTACAAAAATATATCCAGCCAACATTATTGAGTCGCCTACTACTGAGTAGTGGTGGCATACTGGAATCACTTCTCCGTCGTCTGTCTGTCAGCACTATAGAATAGAGATAGGGGGCAAAGTAAACAGAACAAAAGAGAACAATAGAGTTTATTCCGTAACAATAGAGAAAGGGACCAATGGTCCTCTATTATACAAAATAAAATAACAGTAGAAATGGCCTTTTATCACAATTCAGTCATATGTCTGTCTGCACGTACGTACGTCGCTCATAAAACTCGCCCAGACTACTCAGAAACTACAAGTGCAATTTCATCCAAACCTACAGGAATGGTCAGTGCCAGTTTTAGTAGGGCATATCATCGGCATTTTCCTGTTTAAACATTTTTGTCAGAGTTTTAATTTTAAAGTTAGATTAGTATATATTTATGTCTCCCAAAACTTTTGTGAGATATTGTTTATGCCTTCGCCGTCTGTGTGTCCACATTAAGCTTGTCAGGCATTTACGGGTCGAGAGTACTAGAGTGAAGAGTACCGTCCCTAGTTGTTCACATTTTGCTTTGCTTCACAAAATGGCTAGAGCTAAAAATAGAAAATCTTCTCCGATTTTCACAGGTTAAACTGCTTGTAGGATTTAACCAAACATCACAGGATTGATCAGTACTATCCCTAGTTGTGCATATTGCCGGCATGTTCTGCTTCGCTGCACAAATGGTCACCAGAGATGTAAATAGAAAAATCTTGTCCGGCTTTCACAGATCAAGCTGCTGGTGAAATTTCAATGAAAACTTCACAGGAGTGATCAGTACCATCCCTAGATGTGCATATCATTGGCATGTTCTGCGTCGCTGTACAAAATGGCTGCTAGCAATATCTGACAAGGCAGGAAAGTGAACTAACAAAACTGCTGATGAGCGTGACATGCTTATCAGCAAGTATGTGAATGCTGATGTGTCCACTGGCTAGTTTTCCCCTAATTGCTCACAGCCGCAGACAAATACCGTTTTTGGGTAGATGTAGTGAAAAGGTAACCAGCAATGTTTTTAATACAATAATATAAAGATCATATAATTAGAAGCTTCATACATGTATTGTACGTAGTTGTAATTCTTAAAATGCCGCTTTTAAGCATTTTTTCCCCTTCTTTACACGGCTTAAGTTACAGCCGTGATCTGTAGCGGTACTGATACATGTACAGTCGGTGATCAAGGTCACTCGGTCGGAAAAGTTTTATTTAACAATCATTTAAATAATGAAATTTTGACACGTAGGCCCCTATTTTATGTTTTTTCTTTCATTTATTTTTTGGGCAAATTTTCGACCAATTAATTGCCACATTCTATAGGTAACATAAAGTTTTACAGTTCTATAAAATAGGCCTGCTTGGATTATTATAATTATTATAAAATAAACACTCGTGCCACTGTGAAATTGTTAGGGTAAAGAATTATGGCCACTCATTGGTATATTTAAGACTTCTGGGGCTCTGATCTGCATTTCAACCATTCTGAATCTGTTAAATCTACTATACTATCCTGAAGTACTAAACCTTAGAATGCACTTGATAATATATAAATAACACATGGGTTTGTGGGTAACAGTAAAAATATCATCCCAAGGAAAATACTGTTACCCGAGGGATGATATTTTTACTGTTACTCACAAACCCATGTGTTATTTTGTAACCCCAAACAAATACTGTAATCAATAATATTTATTTTTTAGGTGGAAAGAAAACAAAAAAAAATGTGACCAGATTTTTATACTGTTAAAAAGTACTATTACCATGTAACAGTACAAATGTCTTAGTTACATGGTACAATTGCTTTAACAGTAAGAATAACTCCCAGTGGCCTTTGGAAAATTAACATTACAAGAAAAGTGAAGGTATATACATAATAGCTTTTTATACATGTATGGTGTATCTTACTTGTACGATATGCAAGCCCAGATTATCACAAAGCAACGGTTTATTGTATCATAGTTTGGGGACCTTTCTGTTGAAAATATGTCAGGGTTAAATCGTATACATATACATGCACAGTGCGTTAACTGGAGTGCGGGTATTAGTTATCCGCACTCCAGAGCATGCCCATTGATTGGCTCATTTTTGCTGGGGTTTACATATTGTGATGGCAGAGAAAGGGAAAGCGACAGAAATATCATATTCAGATGTTCGTTCATTGGTTCATTTTTGCCGGGGTTTCATATTGTGACAACAGGGAACATGTTTTTATGTTTGACTATGATACAAAAGAGAAAGAACACCAAAACACTCGGTAATCTGATTAATACTCGGGGGCTACGCCCCCTCGTACAAAAAGATAACCTCGTGTTTCGGTGCTCTTTCTATTACTTATTATATAGCACTAGAACATGGACAATACATGTTAACTCGTCTTTTGTTTTGAGGAAACAAGTTTTTTATTGTTTTAGTAGAATCAATAAAAGGTAACTGTTATTCAGTCAATACACTTATCTTAAATAGATAGATTCTTTATTACCTCAATCATAGGAGAGCAGCATGCATTATACAAGAACATTAAGTACAAATACACATAAACAAAACACAGACAATGTTATGAAATGAATAAACACAAAGACATGATAAAAATCAGAATACAACATTATACAAGATTTTATAAGATAAGTATACTAGAAAAAAACAACTTGTGTTGTACACTACGACGGGTGAGACATATCAGGAAGAAATCACGTGTAAGACCCTTTAACATATTTTCACGTTATCATTTTATGAAATGTTTTAATAAGTGTGTCATATAGTTCCACAATTCACATCCATACAAAGCCTTAGGTAGTACGACTGAGTTATATATCTTAGATATGTTGAGGGATTGAGATCATAATGCCAAAGTCTACACCACTATTTGCTATACTCAAAAGTGTTCCTTGCAATTTACAGCTTGTATTGTAAATATTAATAAGATAAATGAGTACTTGTTTAAAGTTATTCCAAGATGTACATATTCGATACCCTCGCGTATTGTTTTTGTACCTATTGTCCACTTCCTGTGACAAATTGCTTTCTCGTATTCAATCTTTGGCTCATTGTAGACAACCACAGAACATTTAGAGGGATTGTACTCGAAACGCCATAATGATGAGATGCGATAGCAAATACTGATCATTTGATCTAAACCATGTTTTGAAAGAAAAACTAGGACCATGTCGTCTGCAACTGTAGGGCTACTCATTTATGTTTTATTTCTCATTAAACTTATTTTTATTTTTTTGGTTACAGTTTCTAAAAATACTAATTAATTGGCAATTAGTATAATATAATGATAGTGAATCAGTATTTTGCTAAAGGACCTTGAAATTCGGTCAATAACAGCAGTGCTTAAAGTCTGATTTTAAAAAGCAGAACATTCCATTCCTGTATAAAAAATAATATACTGTAGGGATGTCATTTTCTATTCTCATAATATCAAGGTCCTGTGTATGGAAGTCAAAATACTACTCTGTACCTTAATGATACATTACTGCACATTCAGTGCTACTTAATTTTCTTCAGTTGTTAAACATCTTACATGCTCCTTAAGCATTATAAAACATTATATAACACATTTCTAAAGAATAAAAAAAAATGCATAATGTGCCTTTACCTCGTTACTAATCTTGAGTTTTATGCATTTGAAATAATTATTGTACACTTGTCACTTAATATACCCCCGAAACGAAGTTTGGGGGGGGGGGGGGGGGGTATATAGGAGTCACTCGGTGGTCGGTCCAGCGGTCTGTTGCATTTTCTTTGTCCAGAGCATAACTTGAAGACTAATGATTGGAATTCAATACAACTTCATACAATGATCAAGCACATTGAGAGGAAGTGCAGTGCACAGGAACCATAACTCTATCTTGACTTATTACATAGTTATTGCCCTTTGTTACTTTAACTTGTCCGGAGCATAGCTTGAAAACTACTTGTTGGAATTCAAAACAACTTAATACAATTGTCAAGCACATTAAGAGGAAGTGCAGTGCACAAGAACCATAACTCTATCTTGGCTAATTACAGAGTTATTGCCCTTTGTTACTTTACCATAGCTTTCTTTTGTCCGGACCATAACTTAAAGACTAATGGTTGGAATTCAATATAACTTCATACAATGGTCAAGCGCATTGAGAGGAAGTGCAGTACACAAGAAACATAACTCCATCTTGACTAATTACAGAGTTATTTCCCTTTGTTACTTTCCTTGTTCAGAGCATAACTTGAAAACTACTGGTTGGAATTCAAAGCAACTTCATACAATGGTCAAGCACATTAAGAGAAAGTGCAGTGCACAAGAACCATAACCATATCTTGACTAATTACAGAGTTATTGCCCTTTGATACTTTTCCTTGTCTGGAGCATAACTTAAAAAGTACTGGTTGGAATTCAAAACAATTTCATACAATGGTCAAGCACATTAAGAGGAAGTGCAGTGAACAAGAACCATAACTCTGTCCAGAGTAATTATAGAGTTATTGCCAATTGTTACTTTTTCATTGCTTTTTTTCTGGTCCAGAGCATAACTTGAAAACTACTTGTTGGAATTCAATACAATTTCATACAATGCTCAAGTATATTAAGAGAAAGCGCAGTGCAAAGAAACTATAACTATTTCCTGACTCATCTAAGAGATTTTGCCCTTTTTTACTTTTTATTGTCCGGGCATAACTTGACAGTTAATGGTTGGAATTCAACGAAACTTCATACAATGGTCAAGGACAGTAAGATGAAGTGCAGTGCACAAGAACCATAACTCTATTTGGACAAATAACAGTTATTGCCCTTTGTTTCTTTTCCTTGTCATGAGCATGACTTGAAAACTACTAGTTGAAATTCAATACATCTTCATACAATCAGCAA